CAGTGAATCCCTCAGGCTCCTGAGCTCTGACGGGGACAGCTCCCGCTCCCGCACGGGGCCCCGGGGCACGAAGGGTGCCAGGATGGTGCCAGGGGACTGCTCGATGCCCAGGTTCCGCAGGTACATCTGGGGGAACAAGAACAGAAACGCTGAGAGAACACACACACGGATCCCGAGGCTCCAGCACTGGGCACAGAGAGCTCGATTTCTCCAGGGCAGGAGCTCAACCCCAGCCCCACCTGCTCAAATTCCATTTCCCAGCACACAAAGCTTGGCTTCAAAACCTCCTCCCTCCCCCAAAACTGCTGCACAGGAAACCCTGGCAGAATTGGGGCTGGGCAGCACGAGAGCTCCTTGTTCTTTAGGAGTTTGTTCAATCCTTCAAGGCAAACAGTTGGGAAGGATTTTGTCACACACTGATATTACAGGGAAAAACAGCCCCAATTTCCCYTGACTTCATCAGCTGTAGGGGCAAATTAATTTCACCTCATCCACAGTGTCCTAAACGAGCCAGGAAAATGCAGTGAGTTATCTTACACATCGCAGCCAACCCCATTTCCTATGGGTTTACTACAAACTTTCCTATTAACAGCCAGATAAGTGACCTGGCCCCCTTTACCCTGGCAGTGATTTCCTCAAAAGGAGGAATGGGAGAATGTGTAATTATAGCCAGGAACAGAAGTCATCTCCCTGCCTCATGAATTTCATGTCAAACACCCTCCCTCCAATATTTATATTTGTTTCACCACGGGTTTGCAAAGACAACAGAGTGAAAAGAGCTTCTGGAGCACATTCCCGAAGACCTGATGATTACAGGAGTCATCTTGTGCGAGGAGCAGCCTCTTACTCAGAGGATAATGACATGTTTGGCATTAGCATAAATCTGCATCTCATTATCTCCACCACTCAGCTCTCAGTGGCTGCTCCATGGCTCCAACCCTGACAGGGAGGAGGGAAGGGATGGAGAGCTCTGAATGCTCTTTAYGAGAAATACATCAAGAATTGAGGCCTCAGAGCTGCAACAAGTGAAAAAGCAAAATGTGAATTCATAGGAAAAATAAAGGGATTTCATTTCCAAGGAGTTGTGCAGAGCTGGGGGTGGAGTTCAGAGTCTCAACCCCACATCTGGAAAGGAGAATCTGATCCTCTGAATGAGCCACCAACMCACTCCTGTGTCACCCTGCTCCCAGGAATTCAGCAATCCCTGCGAAAGAAAAGATTTCCCACATCCAACCCTTCTCTGGCCACAATAAATATTACTAAAAGTCATTTTCTCCAGCTCTTTTTAAGATAAACTGAACCAGTATCATGGGTAAAATTCACCTGGAGCACAGCCCCGTGTTAAACCATTCATTGTGGCTGTAGTGCTTTGATCCTCTCCTAAAAGAGCAGTGGGGGAAAATGGAAAAGTGAAAAGCAAATGGAAACTTCCGAAAACAAGTGGAAACTTCTGAAAAACAAATGGAAATCTCTGAAAAAAAAGTGTAACTGGAAAAAAAATGGCTAACTCTGGGAAAAGAAATGGTTAATTCTGGGGGAAAAAATGGATAACTCTGGGAAAAGAAATGGCTAATCCTGGGGGAAAAAAATGGATAATTATGGGAAAATAAATGGTTAATTATGGGGGAAAAAATGGATAATTATGGGAAAAGAAATGGTTAATCCTGGGGGGGAAACTGCTAACTTGGGAAAAGAAATGGTTAATTCTGGGGGGAAAATTGATAACTCTGAGAAAAAAAAATGAATAACTGGGGAAAAAATGGATAACCCTGGGAAAAAAATGGATACCTCTGGAACCAGAGTTTAAATTAGAACCAAACTTACTGGGATCCTTTCTTCAATATTCAGCTCCTCTTTCTTTGGGGTCTCCAGCAGTGCTGCAGGGGGGATGGAGCTGTCCTCTCCTGCACTGGGGCAGTGCCTGGACACCAGAGCAGAGCCCTGAGCCTCCCCAGATCCACCAGGAAAATGCAGATTCTCCAGGGAAACGGCTCCAAAGTTGTGCCCAGTGGGAACATTTGTGCTGAGGGGTTGATTTTGCTGAGCTCCACAATCCCTGAGCTCACGATTCGGGGATGGGAACGGAGCAACGCTGGGCACAAACACGTTTGGGGCCGAGCTCCGTCTCCTGATGCTTCCCAGATCTTTACAAGGTCCAGGAGGAATTTTCCTGATGGTGGAGCCTCCTGAAGGGCTGTCAAACCCTCTTAGAGCAGCACTGATCTCCTCTGTGGGGTTTGGTGCTGCTGGAGCTCCAGCCAAGGAGCTGCTCCTGCTGGAAATATTGACAGCATTGTCAGACTGAGAGCGGCTGAGAGCGGGGCCGAGCTGGAAACCTTTGGGAGGGAAATGCAAACTTCCCAGAGAGCCTGTGTGAGCAGGGAAATGGCCAGCACAGTCCTGGGGATCTCTGCTGCTTTGGTGAACTGGTAAAATGTCACTGAGCACAATGGAGGCTTTCCTTCCAGCAGCAAATCCAGCTGGGACAGCCGAGCTCACGGCGTCAGGAACATCCTCGGGCTGGCTCACGTCCCACGCTCCCACCTTCTCCAGGAAACTCAGGGATGGGAAGGAATGAATCCCACCAGGATGGGGGGATCCCAGCCCCAAGGACTGGAAATGTTCAGGGTTCTCCTTTGGGGCGTTCTGGGGTGGACATTGCTCCCTGATGGACACCCCCAAGGGTTCCTCACGGGATCCTGCAGGAGAGATCTGATCCTGAAGATCC